CAGGTGTTTCATTAGCTGCAATGCACCTCCTGGCACCCCTTCAGGAGTTATTCTTGTACAAATTGCATGGAATAATGGAATAATTCCCATTGGAAAGGACCTTAAAGCCCATCCAGTGCCACAGGGGCACCTCCCCCTATCCCAGGCTGCTCCCAGCCCCTTCCAGCCTGGCCTTGGGCACTGCCAGGGATCCAGGGGCAGCCCCAGCTGCTCTGGGAAGGAGAAGTCATAGCTGATTTTGGGGGAGGCAGGTTGAAGCTGTGAGGTTTTCTTTACTGCTGGTTTTTGAATCTCAGTGTTAATGGTGAAACTTCTCTTCTGATTGCTTCAGCCTTTCCCTTGCATATTGACTTTTCCTTTCCATTGGATTTGTTGGGCTGTTTCCCCCATTTTAATTTTTCCTTCCCCTCTTCCCAATCCTCTCAAGGAGATGGACTCAGGAGGGCTGGGAGCTGTTACCCTCACTCCTCTGCTGTTGGTTCTGGCTTCAGTGAGCAGGGCTGAGGGATAATTGACAGTCAGGGGCTGAGGTGGGAACAGGTGAGGAATTTTCCTACAGCATCTGGTGGGTCAGGATGTCCTGATGTGCTCTGGCAACGTCCAGCTTGGCTCTTTAACAAACACACAGCTCCAGAAAGCTCTTTGAGCTCTTAGTGGCTCCATCTCAGCCAGTCTCTGCAGGAGTTTTTATGCCTAAATAGTGCCTCCTAAATACAGAATTTTTTCCAGAATATTTTCCTGCATAGCAGTATATATTTAAATTTACAATTGACATTCTGCACTAATTCATGGGCTTACCATGTTCTTGTAAAATTGTTCAAAAAAGTGCCTGTGACCCCCTTCTCTGATGAAAAATTAAACACCCACTGGCTTATTGAATTACTGTTCTCCCTCTCACGTGCTTTGGGAGGCCAGCTTTGACACCACAATGCTGCTTCAAGTGTTTTATCCGCTCTGGATCCCCAAAAGATCCAAGAAAGTTCAGTGCTGGGGGGCACCCAAGTGTGGGAAGTCCCTTTTCCCCAGGCTGAGCTGCTCAGTGCTTTCAGTCTTGGAACCATGAGCTAATTAGGGGGCTGGAAAAACAGGAGCAAGCCTTTGTTCTCTCCTTTTGGTATCTGAAAAAGGGTGCAAGAGTTGGGATCTTCCAATTCTTATCTGCATTATCTGGAGCAATCTAGGGCTTGGAAAGGCCAGGGGTGGACAGCTGGTCTCAGTTTCCTTGGAGAGCAGATTGGCAGAGGGTCATTGTCTGGGGAAATCAAACACCCACATTGAGCCAGAACTGGTGTCACTGTGAAATAATGTTGCATTTCTTCTTCTCACCTGACCTGCCTGGTCTCAGTTTGGATGGAGGTGGTGTTTTCCTGCTGGGTTTGAGTCTCTCTGTTGATTCTTCTGCTTAAACAAAACCACCTATGAATTGTGGCATAAATACAAGTAGGTGGGTCATTCTGGTCTGGGAAAAAGCCCCAACTGCTTCATTTGTCCAAGGGTATTGATTCAACCTCTGAAAGTAACTACAGAGCTGTTCTGAGCAAGAATTTAAGGTAAGCTTGGCTTATCTCTTGGAAACATAAATACAGTGTACAGATTTCCTTGTAGCTGTAGTGCTAGAGCATCATGATAACTCCAAAATAATGAAAATAAGCAAACATAAAATGTTTTGATAAAAATTTGCTTTGTTGTTTTTTTTCCTTTCCCTCTGGGCTGCTTTGTTGTATCCTATAAAAAAATAATCTTTTATTACAGTAAATCATTCAGGAATTGGGATTGTTTCTTATTGTAAGCTGTAATCACATCAGTTGATGGGAGTTTTATACTTGATCTCAGTTTTATTCCTTGTCCTACTGCAAACTGTGGTGTTGAATTTTTTGTTGCACAGGGCAAGGTGCTTATTTTTAATCTTTCAAAAAGTGAGCATCAGCTCTCTCAAGTGGTCTTGACTTCAGTGCCTGGAGTTGTTAACCAAATATACCAAATATCATGGCACTTCTGATTTAAAAAAAGAAAACTGTGAGAGATTGCAGAAATTGCAAATGGAAAATTCCACTTCCGGAGGGATTTTTTAATTGCTGTGAGATAAGGATGCTCTTTATTTTGGGGTGATTGTGAGAACTGGCTGCTTTCAGCTCTCTCAGGCAGTTGGTACCCAGTGAACACTCTGGGTAAACATCCCAGCAGAACCAAGGATGGAGATTGCTTGGACAAGGCAGATAATTTAGTGTTTCTTAAGGCTCAGGCAGAGTAAACATTTATGCAGTACTAAAGCCAACAATCAGAAATGTTGTAAAAAATCTCTTCAAGCTCCCGAGTAAACGCTGTGGGGCTTAATTTTCATTTTGGTTGATGAAATGATACTGGCAATATTTCCCTTCCCCAATACATGTTAGGAATATAAAGCTGGAATTGGGATGGGGAACCCTAGAAAGGGCAGGGATAGCTCCTTGGGGAAAGGAGCACATGCAGATTTTCCTCTGCATATGGAACAGAAATTCATCCCTGGAGACCAAATGGGAACATCAGGTTTGTGTAGAGTGGAAATAATTTAAAACTTGAAATCAGAGTTGTTTTTCATAAGCATCTCATTGTTGTTCAGAGCTGGAGAGGATTGGAGGATCAGTGCTGTGAGCTGCCTGCATTCTGTTAACATTTGAATTTTAAACCTGTTTATTTGAAAAGGAATAAGCAAAGCCATGATGCCAGTTTTAATAGGAGCACAGATGAATATCAGATGGATTCACTGTGAGCACTGAAATTTGTGGTGTTTGCCCATAAACCAGGGTGGGGATGGATGGGCAGCCTGTGGCTTTGCCACCTCCACCTTCTCTTGTGCTCCATCCCACCTCCCTCGTCTTAAGACAAAAGTTTTCATCTGCTGGGAAGAAACCCACTGTTAAAAGATTTATTAACGATTTTTCATTGCTTTTTTACTGTGCCATGAAGTCTTCAGGGCCTTCTCCACCACCTCTTGCCTTAAAGACACTGAGCTCCAGCCCTCAGAATTATCTGCTGGATATTTGATGTGTCTTCCCTGCCTCTTCCTCTGTTCCCATCCCAAATTGTGCATCCCTCCACTGTGGAACCCTGACCTGCAGCAGGTGGGAATGGCCTAACACACCACACACCTGAGGGCTGGTGGCACAGACAGGGCCCAGGATCCTCATTTTTGGAAGTGAAGGTTTAGCAGAATGCTGTGGTGGCATCCTGTGTTGCAGAAGCAAATAGAAAACAACAGTTGTGGCTTTATTTTTGTATTCTGTGGTTATTCACTGCCTGGGAATATGTGAGTAGAATGGCAAGAATGGGGAATAAAAGGAAAAATTAGGCTGCTGCTCCTCTGCTCTGTGGGGTTTTTTTGGGAATTCCTTTACCATTCTGTTCCCAATTTTAAGCCTGACCTTATGAATGAAAAAATTGCATTTGCCTCCTGAAATGAAACCTTTATTTCACAAGAACATGCAGCAGATTTTCTTTTCAAAGGCAGCATTTACCCTGTGCCTTCAGTGCTGTGAGCCACCAAAATTGCTTTGCCTCCTGCAGCTGGTGTGTGATGAGGTGGTGTTTCTGTGGTTCTGGTGTAATTATGTTTAGATTTGTAGCTCTGCTTTCCCATTTGTCTCTGTTCTGTTGGATGGGGTATGGATTGGATTTTATAACTTTGACACTTTGAAACTGGCCCTGTACTTATATCAGTTGCATGTAAATGTTTTGCTCCAGGCTAGCTAAAAAAAGGGATTTAAGAACAGTAGGGTTTTCTTAGGAAAATTTAAATGCCTGGGTTGGGTTTTGTTTGATAAGTTTGCTTGTTATTTGGCTAAATTTGCCTTTTAAAATCCAGCTGTGACTTTGCTTCTGGCCAAATGTCTCTTACCTGCTGTAGTTGCTAATCAGGTCTATTGCCATCTTCCATGTCTTGGGAATTGAGAGATGGGATGGGCTGTAAATACTCCATGGAATCATGGAATGGTTGGGGTTGGTAGGGACCTTTAAGATCATCCAGCTCCAACCCTTTGCAGGGCAGGGACACTTTGACTAAACCAGGTTGCTCAAGACTCATCCAGCCTGGCCTTGAACATTTGCAGGGATGTGGAGTCCACAAGTGTGAAAAACGCCAATCACTTGGTTTTTTTTAATTTTAAAAGTTTAATGAGAATAAATTGGTTATAAAAGCAGCAATATAATTAGAATAATAATAATAATTTGGACAATTTGGATTAGGACAATATGAGGCAATAAAATCAAAGAGTTACAGACAGTCTGGGCACCTCTTTCTGGGCAAAATAAGCCCAAAAAAGGCCCCACGTTAACAGAGGATTAACCCTTAAAAGCAACAGCCTGTTGCATATTCCTACACCTCATCCATGATGCATAAATTCCATTCAGACACAGGATTCTGTCTGGGCAGTGTCAGCTTCTTCCTCTGAATCCCGATGGTGTCTTCAGGGCTGAGCGAGGCAGGAAGAAGTTTGTTTCTTCTGATATGGAGGCATAAATTCTCTTTCTCTGAAAGATTTGGGTGTCCTGTGGCTGCTATCTCAGTGTGAGTCCTCTCTTAAAAAAAGTATCCTACATAGCACAGTTTCTATTTTAACATTGTTATAACCTAAAACTAGATTTAACACGCTACTTAATAAAATTAATACAGCATCACTTTCTAACATAACATCTATAATATTCGTTTTATATTTGCAAAAAGCCAATCATAAAATACACATTTTTCACACACAGCCTCTGTGGGAAGGTGAGATTCCCTCTTGATGAGGGTTTTGGGGAAAGGCTGAGCAATTGGAATAACTCTGATAAGCAGCTGGATGTGACAGCCAGGTGTGTGCCAATACCTAACACTCACAGGTATTTAATCTATTTATTAAGCAGATTACGTGCCTCTCTCAGGACAGGTAACGAATACCCGTGAGTTATTGTGTGGAAGTTTCCCCGCTTCAGGCCAGGCAGCCCTGGGAAGCTCTGTGTGCTAAAGCAGCGCTCTCGTTCCGCAGGATGTTCCGGCTGCGCTTCCTGCCCGCGGCCGCGGCGCTGGCGGCGGTGGCGCGGCGTTCCCAGGGCCCGGCCCCGCACCCCGGCACCCGGCGCAGGCTCCTGCTGGCGGCTTTCCTCGGCACCTCTGCGGCCACGGCGAGTGCCAGGTTCCTCTGGCAGAGGTAATGCGTGCATTGCTAATGTATTGCCTGCTCCTGGTAAGTACCTGTGGTGCTCCTGCTTGTCCTCCTGATGCACGGAAGGAAGGCTGGGAACACAAACCCTGTGAGGAACCCCTGAGGGAGCTGGGGGTGCTCAGCCTGGAGAAAAGGAGACTCAGGGGTGCCCTCATCACTCTGTACAGCTCCTGAAAGGTGGCTGTGCTCAGCTGGGGTTGGGCTCTTTCTCCAGGCAGCACTGACAGAACCAGAGGACGCAGCCTCAAGCTGCACCAAGGGAAATATAGGTTGGATATTAGGAAAAGGTTTTTTACAGAAAGGGCGATAAAGAACTGGAATGGTCTGCCCAGGGAGGTGGTGGAGTCACCATCCCTGGGTGTGTTTAAAAACAGCCTGGATGTGGCACTGGGTGCCAGGGTTTAGTTCAGGTGTTAGGGCTGAGTTGGACTCGATGAGCTTGGAGGTCTCTTGCAACCCAACCCAGAGATTCTGTGCATGCCCAGGGGTGATTCCCCGGGTGATTCTGTGCATGCCCGGGGGTGATTCCCTGGGTGATTCCCTGGGTGATTCTGTGCATGCCTGGGGATGATTCCCTGGGTGATTCCCTGGGCGATTCTGTGCAGGGCTGGGGGTGATTCCCTGGGTGATTCTGTGCAGGGCTGGGGGTGATTCCCTGGGTAATCCCTGGGTGATTCTGTGCATGCCCGGGGGTGATTCCCTGAGGAGCTCCCTTGCTGCTGGCCGTGCTCAGGGATGCAGCAGAGCTGGGGTGAGGCGTGGTCTCACACGGGCTCTCTGATGTGGTTTCCTGCCTCGTTTCCTCCCTGCCTGGTGGTTTGTGGTGGTGTGTAGAGAGAACCCTTCACTTTCACAACTTCTGTTTGAAACAGCACATCTGGGCAGGGTTTGCTCCTCTCTTTTTTTTGTGCGGTCTGCTGGCTGCTTGATGTATAAAATGCAGCAGAGGAGCAGAAGGGGACAGTCTGTATTTGGGTGGGAAGGTAGCAGCACACAGGATTTATGTGCATTTTCAGGGTCAGAGCCTTAGGATATCTCATGGTTTCTGGGGCTCAAAGCTCTTTCCTGTACCTGAGGTGCAAGGGGATGTTTGGGCTTTCCTGAGCTGACTCTCACTGCACCCTGGGGCTGTGCCATGTCTGGAGTAAAACAGGGACTCCCTTCTCTTTCCTCAGCGTGGCACCAGCACTGTCACTCAAGCACATAACTGCAATTAGAGTCTAAAAATAAAGTATTTGCTGAAAGCCTGTGTTCTTTTCATTCTGATACTCAGGTGATTTGTTGCTGGTTTCCTGCTCGCCTGTGGCTGGAAGGCTTTAGCTTTAATGCAGTGGGAGAAAGGTGATGGGAATTGTTCTGGCTGTTCCGCAGAGCTGTCAGAGCTGGCTCTGTGCTAAGAGGAGCTGCTCAGTGGAGGAAGAACACTGTGATCCAGCACAGTGTCATTTGGTGCTGCATTTTGGTAATGATCTGCACTGATGCAGTCAGTGCCTCTGAGGGAATGGCCAGGATAACTCCCCTTTTCCAGCAGGGAGGAGAGTGGGGTTTTTCCACTTCAAACCTTGTCCTCAGCATGATCAGAGAGTCAGTAGGACATCATGTCCTGTGTGAAGCTGTCCCAGAGACATGGAGTCAATATCTCCCTTCTCTAGCAGGTCCCTCTGCTTTTCACACCAGCTACATTTTCAGTGCTGTTGTTGCTTTTATCAGGAGGATGGTGCTTGTGCTGTGTGGAGGGCTGGGTCAGAGAGGGATTTTTGGCTCCTGGAGAACTTTGCTGTTCCTTGGAGGCCCTTGGGCACCTTCCTCAGCTGAGAGCACTGACAGAAACCAGTCACTGAGACACAGCTCTCATCAATCGGGAGAGGCTGACTTGCTGTTATTACTTGTTTTGCCTTTCCTTGCTCTGTCTCCTTCATCTTTTATACATTTAGAAAGCACTAAATAGAATTGTACAGGCATTCAAGTATTCCTTTCCTATCTGAGCCATGAAATAAATCCTCAACGTCAGCAACTGTAAAATAAAAGTGCACCCAAGCTTACAATATTAATTTAATTACTTGGCACAAAGCTGTTGAATTAAACAAGGAACAAAACTGATATGTTTGATGTAGAAAATTTTTCATACTGACATCTGTGGAAGTTTTAAATGGACTTTCAAGTGGGCATTTTAGCCTTGTTTAAAGAAATAAGGGATGAAGTGTAAATTTCCTTTTTCTTTCTGAAAGTGGATATTGGGTGATCAGTAGAGTTTGAGAGCAGGTGAGTACAGAATGTTTGCAATGACATCCTCAGTTACTCAGGTGTATCCTGAGTTAGCACAGGAAGTAGCAGTAAGTATAATTAATTAGTACTAAGAGATAAATATGTAAATATTTCTTTACATTTAAGGCATTGAAGATGTACCAGGCCAGATCAAGAAGCAGTTGGAAAATTTAAGTTTCTTGGGCTAAATAAGTAGAAGATGATGATGGCGGAGTGAAGAAAGACAGGAATTCTCAGGTGCAGTCTGAACCCAGTGTATTTCAGGCGGATTCTGTGGGTTGTGCTCTGACAGCAGCAGCAGCCAGTGCTGGGGTAAGGAAGCTCACACAAAGGTGGAGAAGAAATCAAAGAGTGAAAAGAGATGTATGGAAAAATCCTCTGGTTGTGTGAGGCAAGGCAGGTTTAATTGTGTCTCCCTAAGATGGGAGGTGGGTTGGTGGCATCTTTGTTTGTTCCACTGCAGGTAAGAGTTGGTCTTGTTGCCTTCCCTGCCCTCTGGCAAGTCCTGCTGCCTGTTTTTGGGGAATGAATCTCCTCTCAATTATTATACAGCAGGAGTAGTTCATGCTGCTCAGCTTTGCTGTGGCAGGGAATACTTGAGCAGTGCAAATAGCTGAGCTTAGAAGACTGATGAAGTTTACCCTTTCTCAGCAATAACTTAAACTCTGAGGATTTCCAGCTGGCAAGAGAAGCAATTAAGTATCTGGGCATTGGCATAATGAACTGAATTAATTGAAATTAATCTTGGTGCAGTCATTGGCTACTCTAAATGAGGCACTAATATATGAGAAGTACTAAATCTCACAGTTTGTGGCAAGCTTAACGGTTGTAAAAAATATTCCATTACTGATCCTGGTGTAAAACTTATACTTTCTAGTTCCTGATACCCATTTGGAGTGTTGGGAAATGGCTGCAGATCTGTTCTTCATGTCACACTTGTTGGCTGAATCTGTGGGCCTCTGAAAGCCCTTAAATTGGCATTTTGGTGCTGAAGCTTGTTAATCAGTCTGACACTGAGTGAAGGAAGGGAGCAAAGGTACCTTTGGGGGCACAGAGTGACCTCTGTAAGCAGAGTCTTACCAGTGCTGCTCCTGACAGACTGAAAATACCCAGTTAATGATCCTTTTCTTATCCTTCTGTGAATAAATTAGTGGTGAGAGTAAGGGTAGGACACCTGTGTTGCTCTGGAAATTGCTGCCTCACATGGACCTTGCTGGAGCCGGTCCAGAGGAGCCAAGGAGCTGCTCCAGGGCTGGAGCCCCTCTGCTCTGGTGGGGCTCAGAGTGCCCATCTGGAGAGGAGAGGGATTGAGGTGGGGAACTTGGGGCCCTTCCAGTGCCTGACAGGGCTCTAGGAGAGCTGGAGAGGGACTGAGGACAAGGGGAAATGGCTTCCCACTGCCAGAGGACAGGATTAGTTTAGATATTGGGAAAGAATTGCTCTCTGTGAGGGTGGGCAGGCCCTGGCACAGGGTGCCCAGAGAAGCTGTGGCTGCCTAGCAGTGTCCAAGGCCAGGCTGGACAGGGCTTGGAGCAGCCTGGGACTGTGGGAGGTGTCCCTGTCCATGGCAGGGGTGGCACTGGAGGGGCTTTAAGGCTCCTTCCAAATCAAGCTGTTTTGGGATTCTGTAACTCTGTTTAAGAATGCAGCGATTTTTTGCACCAGTGTCCCGAGGGCTTTAGAGTAATTTGCCTAGAATACATTTTTAATGGGAGAATTGCTGGATATATCTTATGCCAGCTGAAACAGAGACTTCAAAATTCTCTCTTGTAGTAAAACAAAGGAAACCACATAAATCATAGTCAAGAGGGAAGAAACCTGTTTTATTGCTGTAGATGTATCAGGTACAACTTAACCTAATGTTTGGGAGAGAAGATGAAAAATTGGAGGTATTATTCATGTGAGTTTATTTTTAGAGCCCTCATGTGCTTACATGTCAGGGGGATGGAGCGAGCTGATCTCTAAGGTCTCTTCCAACACAAACCATTTTGTGATTTTATACTTTTTTAATTCTTTGTGAGAGGTGACACACTCAAGAGACTCTCCTTGGGATTGCTGTGCTGAGGGTTTTTCCTAAGACTTCATGACACATTGGTCTGGGAGTGGGGTCTTGAAAGAACTCAGTGTTCTCTCCAGTGGCTTTTGGCTGAACACTGAGGGATTTTCTCCATGGACACTGGGGAAGGAAAGGATCAGCCCTGAACCCCACTGTGGTGAGCTCTGTTTGGAAATGAAAGCAGCATCTCCTGGATTAAGAAATAGCAGATTTCTGCTCATAGGGATGTTGGGGTAATGTCAGGACACCACAGCATTAGGGTGTCATTAGGGTGGCTGCCTTTGTGAAGTTCTTGCCACAAATTCATTGTGCCAGTTTATGTTGGTGTTGAGTGTGTGAGAGATGAGGAGGGAAGCAAAGCAGTAGAGAGCCCTGTGAGTGTGGCAACACCCTGAAAACTCTCTGGTGAATTCCCTATTAAAGTTTCAGGTGACTAATTTGGGTGCTGAATGTGGTTGAGCTGAGGATGAGCCACAGCTCCTTCTGAAAGTTCTCCTGATCCCTGGAGGTTGCCTGTTTTTATGAATGTCATGTCCTAACTTGCTTTTGCATTACAGCATGAAAGCCCTGAAGTCTTCAGTGGCTTTTAAACCTCTCTGGGATGTCCCCAGCTGTTTACATCCAGGGAGAATGGCAACTCTTAGTCAGCTGAGGAACACATGTGTCAGGCAGGGTTCCTCCCTCCTGCCCCTGGGTGCTGACAGCAGCTTTGCTGACTCCTGGGTGCCCATCTCTTCCATTTCCCTCTGACACTGAGCAGCAACTGATAGCTCAATACTGAATACTTTGCTACTGCCTCCAGGATTAGAATAACTGAGCACTGTCATCTCTGGCACAAAGTTGTGTGATTTTTTTTTCATGCTGTTCTGCTTCTGTCATTCAAAGAAGAAAAATACTGTAAAGGGAGGGGTTGTGTTTCATTGGAACATCTGCAGGACCTGTAACTTGGAGTGTTGTGCCAATGCCCAGTGTGAGTCCCAGCACCCTTCCTGCATGGATATCCCATGGTTGCATGTGTTTGGCTCTCTTAAAGCATGGTTCCCCAAGAGAGAATTTATCATTGCAGCCCTTTGGTAGCTCAGTGTTTTAGGGGAGGATGAGGAATCCAATCTTACACTTGATTGCTGGCTTTCTCCAGGGGTTCAAAGGAGATATTGCTGAGTGGGTGGGGAGTAGTGTTTGATTCAAATTCAGTTCACTGAGGGGAAAAAGTCTGAAGAGATGAGAATGGTTGAAGCATGGCAGTAGGGCTCAGGAGCCAGGGCAGGCACACTCTGTGGGGAAAGGCTGGTGGCTGGTCTTGGCACACAGTGAAGGGAGGCTTTGTATTTTCATTTCCCTTTTTGTGCAGAAGCTGCAGCACCAGGAATTTCATTGGAAAGTCAGCCTCATCAAACAGGGCAGGAGAAGAGAGAGTCCCCACTTGCTGAGGGAAGTCCAGCAGGGTGGATATTTCTGAAGCCATGGGCTTTTGTTTCCTCCAGCCATACTCTGACATCTGCACTGAAAGGCTTTTTTATGTGGGCTGAGTATGGAAGCTGCAGTTGTTGGAAGCCAAGGATTTCAGCAGAGGGAGGTAAAATACACAGAGAGGGTGCACATAGAGAGCTGCTCCTTCAGTGGTTAGTTCAGCAATAGCTGTTAAACCTTGCTTGAGAAGCAGCCTCCAGACTCTGCCTTTCTCCTCAGCTTGTTTTCCTGGATGCTGGGATGGTGATCTGAGTGTGGAGCAGAGTTCATTACCTGGATGAACCAGAGGGAAGAAAAAGCTGCCTGTATTCAAACAGCCTCCGTCTGTATCACTGCAGCAACTGACTTGACAGCCTGATGGATTGAGGGAATGCGTGGGATGTGCTGGAAAAGTTTGATTTTTCAATTTCATCTATCCCTTCCCTGGGCTGCTAGCTGTCAGTCAAGCCCTACAGGAGCAAATGTTTCCTGATACAGCTATTCTCCTGCATGTTTGCTATGGAACACCTTAGTTGTGGAGATAGGCAGTTGATTTCCTGTTGCTTTTCTATCCCTTTCTCCAAGAGGTTCCCTCAGAGATGCTTAAGATGGATGTCCTGCCTGCACAGGGGCTTTCCATGTCAGTGCTGCTGGTGTAGCCTCACTGGCAACTGCATTTTTCAGCCAAACCCACAGCCCCTCAAGGGTGTGCCAGTGCTGATTAAACTTTCAGGAAAGGCTTCAGGACAGGTGCCAGCATGGACTTCAAGCTCTCCAGGAGAGATCAGCTGCAGGACTGTTCTGGGGAAAGAGTTTCCCTCCCTTAAGATCCTTGTGCAGGACCTGGTTTGGATCCTGTCTCTGGGAGTTTGGTTCAGTGAGGCCATAGAGATGGTGCTTTGCTGTAAGACTCACAAATATATATCAGCAAATTATAGAGACTCAGGGCCTTTTCAGAAGAGGAAGTGTGCAAAGCTCCATTTTAATGTAAAAAGGCAGGATTAATATTGCTCTTCACTGAACATTTGTGTACTTTATTGCACCAGACCCCTGTAATGGGGCTGTGTTCTGTCCCACTGTGGACCAGAAACCTCTGAATCCCTGTCTGAGCTGATCCCTTCCAGCCCAAACCATTCCATAAATGATAAAGTGTCTTCTTGCCACCAGTACTGTGCAGTTTGCAGTTCTTTAGCCCATTCCCATCTGTCTTGTTCTGTGCTGTCAGTGAATTATTGGATGCTGATAAGGAGAGAGTTGTCTTTTCTTTTGGTAGCATTTAAATTAATTGATGGATCACTTACCCTCATTGCTCCTTCTTGGAAGCTGATGTGCTGAGATTGCTGCAAGCTGTGGAAGGTGTCCCTGCCCATGGCAGGGGGTGGAAGGAGAGGATCTTTAAGGCCCCTTCCAACCCAAACCATCCCATGATTCTGTGATTCCTGGGGAAACAGACACAGGCTCTTCTGTTAGTATTACACAGCACATCTGTGTTTTCCAGGAAACTGGCAGGATGAAGTATGTGTAGCCTTTTGTTTAGAGCTTGGGAGACTTCAAAAATCTTGGTTTGTTTTTGTTTTTCTCCCAGGGCAGCTCTTTTAAAACAAACTCACACAGCTGTAAATGACCACATTCATAGCTCCAGGCAGTACCAAAGTGGGCAAGGAGCAGCACCTGTGTGTAAGCTGCATACCCTGTGATTAGTCCAAAATAAATCACCAGGAATGCAATGTAAAGGCAGATTTGTTTAAATTATGGGCAGGCTGGGATGTTTCCCTGAGCTGTTTGAGTCCTTTAGAAAGAGAAATAATGTTGTCAAACCGTTGGCTGTGTTGCTTGTGCCACTCCTCAGAGATTATCATTTCGCTGATGTTAATGTGGTCTGAGCTCTGTCTCATTCTGAACTGCTTTACAAGTAAAGCATGGGAAAGCCAGAGCATTGCTTGGCTTAGGGATTTATCCTGCTTTTTATTTAATCATCCCATTGCCAATTGCAGTTCTGAGAGTTGCTCCTGATTCTGAGTGATTTGAAGTGTGGAGTCTATGAGCAGAGTTGACTGAAGATCTTTGTGTTTGAGCAGCAAGGGAAAAGGGGTTCTGGGCTCTGCCAGAGTTTTATTTGCACCTTGAGGACAAACAGCTCCAGTTTTGTTGTCACAAATCCTGCAGCACTGGTGTTTAGAAGAGTCATTGGTGGAATAAGGGGATAAAACAGCTTGTCAGCTCCTGGAGATAGAAAATAAATCAGCTGAGCTGAAACAAAAAGGTTGTTCATCCTGAATCCTGCAGTGCTGATGGTAAAACACATTTCTGTCACTTAATACATCTTTCTGGGGAAGCAGAGGTGGAATTTAGTGCTAGAGGAGGTATGATATGCCTTTCTCCCAGGGTTTCTTGCATGTCTGGGTTTTGGGAGAGGGTGTCATAATTCACTGAGTGATTTGGACTGGGAAAACTTACTGTGGCCATTAGTCTGGGGTTTGATGTGGGGTGGAAATTTGATTGCAGCAGGGGAAAGCATTCCAAGAGGACTGGTCACTTCTCTGCTTTTGCTTTGCAGCCCTCCCTGCTGCACTGTAACCGGTGGAGCCTGGCAGGACCATTTGTGTCACCCCTCAGTCACTTCCTAAACCGGTGTTTTCTTTTCCCGCTGCAGGGCTTATGCAGAGGACTCTGTCAGACACGGCCCGAGGGCAGAGCCAGGGGAGAAGATGAAGCAGGAGGAGGAGGAGGAGAGCAGCAGCAGCAGTGAGGGCAGGAGGGCTGTGGCCTCGGGCGATGAGGAGGCGCCGGCTGAAGGGAAGAAGAAGAAACGCTCGGGGTTCAGGGACCGCAAGGTACCAAACTCGGGCAGCTTGCAAGAGGAAAACTTGCTCTGTACCTGTCTGTGTTTGCTAAGGGACCTCACTCTTTTGGGAGCCTGCTTTCTCAGCATGTAGCCATGAGTTTCTGCAGGTTGAAATGTGTGTGTTTGGAAAGCACAGTACACTGATCTCTGAAATGGAGACCTCTTTCCCCACCTCCACTTACATGTCCAAGGTAATCAAGGCTCCTGCACTGATGGCTGTTAGGATGGTGCATGCAAAGCAGGGAATTGTTGCCAAAGCTTTTAAACCATCTGGGATATTCAGCATGTGTGTCTCTGAGTCCATCCTTTTGCCTGTGAATATACAAAGTACATACAGGAAGAAGTAGAGGGTGAATGTGGAAGGGAGGGTTGTAGGAAAGGTGTACTTTAATTCTTGATTTCATTCATTTCATTATTCTGTGCAAATGTACTTATTGAAATGCAGGCTCAGTTCCCCTTCTTGGTTAGTCCTGGCTCTCTCTTGATGCTTCTGGCTATTTCATTTTCAAGAGGAGGAAAGCTTGAGTAATAAACTCTCTTGTTGGCTTGTGACCTGCCTTCGCTCTTGGGGAGTTCCAGGAGCTTTGGGCACCTCAGAACTGACAACTGGTTTGGCACTGTCTGAAACCACCGTTATTAAAGGATGTGTAATTTGATCTGGCAGAGTCCTCTAACTGGGAGCTGGCAGACAGCAGTATTTTATTTTTTAAGCCCATCTGGATGTCAATTTTATAGGGCTGTGTTGGATGATGTAATATCTTTGCAGCACCAAAGGGGAGAAAGGAGTTGTGAAGAGCATCTACTCCCATTTTGTTATGACTTGCTTCTGATACTTATTTTTAAGCCTGTATTCTGGAGATTGCATCTCATTAGCTGTTAAATTGTGGGTAGTCATATAGAGTGGCTTAACAGCTTCTCATGAAAAATTAAGAGCTGTTTCCTTTAGAGCTGCTGAATCATTTTGGTTCCTGGTCAGAAAAGATTACACAACTTGAGACTTCAAGTGCTTCGTGGTGTTTGGGGCTCCAGACTCTCTCCTGTTGTGACTGTTGGTGGCAGCTCAGTGAAGTTATGTAGTGAGATATTCAGAATTGTCCAGGAATGTGGGTTCTTGCTAGTTTTCATGGCAGCTGGGTGTCAGGTGCTCTGACAACTTCAGCTCTTGCCAGTATCGCTCAAGAAAAGCAGGTTATTGCTTTTTTCCAGTGTTAGCAGATGGAGGCAGGTTGCAAAGAGCAAACCACGGTCCACCTCCACCCACGCTCTTAATTTTGAATAAAGTGAGTGCAAAGATTGATTTTTGTGTGACGTGACTGCTGCTGGGGCAGCCACAGGAAGTTTTCTACATGCAAGGACTATTGTTTCAGTTGTTTGAGATGTGCTGACCAGCTCCTTCCTTCCCAAACTAGGCAGGGAGGAATATGACCATGATTTCCAAATGAGACACAAGCCAGGTGTGCCCAAAAGGTGGGAGCAGAGCGTGGCCTGGATCCTTTCCCATCCCAGAGTGCCTTCTCCAACAGCAGGAGCAGCAATTTCCCTGGGGACAGCCCTCACCATCTTTGTGCCAACACAAGCCTTTTCTCTGCAGCCTCCAGACAGAATGTGCCTTGTGTGGCCCGAATGCCAATGTTGCAAAAGCTCCTTTAAACGCAGGATGTGCCAGGTATTGTCCCGGGTGCCTGCTCGGTGTTTGGTCAGCAGCTGCTGCAGTGAGTCACCCGGAGCTGTTTGAATGTGGCCAGCTCGGATGTCAGGGGAAGGTGTGCCCTGCTCCTGACTCAAATCAGGGCTGCTCCCCGGATGTGCTGCTCCCCTGACTGTGCAGCACCCCGGGGATTCTTGACTCCTCTGTCTGTTTGAGAAAACCCCAACAAAGCACCACCCACAGTACAAACTCTTCCCAGCTCTTCCCATAATTAATTGAAAATAGCGTGGGATTTTCCTTGTGAAAAAATTAAGCCTAATTGGAAGTGTTTAACACTTGTTTGTTATCCTAATGTTGCTTTTAATGAAGATGATGATTAGTGGCGAAGCAGTAAATTAAGTTTGACATTGCTGTTTTAGATAGTGATCCAGTGAGAGGGGGAAGCTGAGATACAAAGAACATAAAGCACTCTCAGGTGTTGGGATTGTGTGTGGATGCTTCCCAGGCAAGTGTTGTCTGTGCAGCAGGGCAGAAAAGAAAAAAAGATTACTTGAGTGCCTCAATATAGTTTGAAGGCTAATGAGCTGTAATACAGGATGGGGGCGGGCTGATGTGTTAATTAACTTGCTAAAAGTGTTTGCATGCAGCACTAGGGCTGACTTATCAAGATGTACTGGCAGTGTTTGGGTCCTGCAGGTATCTTGCCTTGGGGTGTTCCTCGTGCTGAGCCTTCATTTGGGTGTGTGTCACAGGGGGAAGCACGAAGAAAATGAGTCCTAATTAATTTCCCCTGTAAAGATGTGTGCTGCTGCATAGTCAGGGAGGCCCTGGTGGTGCTCTGTGCCTTGAGATGTTAATTTAGAGCTTTATTTTCATGTCAGCATAGAATTTAGGTTTTTTTTCTTTTAACCTGAGGCTTGGCATAAACATTGACAGTCTCAACAGCACCTTCACTCTTGTAGAGCAGCAGGGATTACTTACTTGTCTTTCTCCTCCAGCACATGCTCTACTCATAAATGCAAAAAAGAGATTTTTCCCTTTGGGTTATATCATCTTTCTCAAGGTGCCTGATTACCTGAGGCTGCATTTCTGGAGACAGGAGGAGAATTTTGACTGGTCTTCCTTGCATCAAGGACTGGTTTGTACTGCAGAAAAGTGAGAGGTCAGGAGAGGAGACACTTGCCTGGCATGGATTTCAGTCCAGGTAGCTTTGAAGCAGTGCAAAAACCCCTCACAAATGGTTGTCTGTACCCAAGACATGGGCTCCTAACTCCACATTTGTTTTGGGGGATCAGGCCACCCTTGTTAGCACCCACTTGATGTTCAGCACAGGCACAAATAAATGAGGTTTTCCCCATTTGCAGCATCTTGGCTGCTCCCTTCTTGACCTGGCTTCGTGTTGCACCCAGCCTTGCAGCCAGAGGGATGGGCTGCAACATTTGTCAGTTTTTGCCAGCTGATTAGCTCATTACCAAGAATGATGTAATTGTGGGTTCAGCTGCAGGCAAAGGGGAAGGAGTGTGGCTGCATTTGTTCCCTTCTTGTAGGGAAGCTTGTGGAAGAAGTGAGATTTCAGTTGTGATGAAAGCAGCATGTGAGATGCTAAAAAGCAGTTTAGATTCTACTCTTTTGGTCCACATTGTGCGTTTTTGTGCTGTAAGATGAGACAGGAGATGTGGTTTTGAGCCCATGTTGTTAGTAAGCTGTTGTTGTTGTGCAAGTAATACTCTAAATATTCTAAACATGAGGAGAAAAGCACCTGAAAGCAACAAGCCTGAGAGCAGCATCTTGGCAGGGGATTAAAACAGATGTGGAGGGAAGAGCCATTGTGGATATGGCGTCAAGTGGGGTAAAATGAAACATGGTTTTAGTGGAGAATGTCAGGACTCTGTCTCTGGTGCAGCAGTGGGGCTGTTGGGTTGTGCCCAGCTGGGTTGAGGGAAAGCACTTCATAGTGCCTTGCAAGAAACTTTACCACAGGCTTGGAAGATTTGGTTGATGAGGTTTTTTAGCTAGAAAGCAGGCAGTGTGGAAGGGTTGCCATGGATGGAGGGAGCTGGTCTGTGGTGTCTGCTCTTGGCTCCAGTCTGGGGTTTCATACTGCCCTTGTTTTATTTGCCTTCCTTGAAGGTAAAAATACTGAGCTGTTTCTGGCTGATTAAGCTGGGTGGGGTGTTATTCATGAGATCAGGCAGGAGTGAGATATGGCCTGCACCCACAAGTGGAAGGATCACTTTGGCATAAGGAGCTGCCTCCTGCCAGGGGGGAGCAGTAGACAAAGCCAGAAAGAGGTGGAAAAGTGGGTGTCATCTTTTACTTGGAGCTTGGCTATAAAGCAATTTTCCTCATTCCAATGCCCTTAGCTGTGCAGAACCTTGTGGACTGAAGCAATAAAAGTGGGATTAGGTTTGTTGATTAGAGGTACAAAGGCCCTAGGGAAAAAACCACTTTCTCCTGCAGTGGTTGATGCAAGGACATGTGAATTCTGGAAGAGCTGTGGTGATGCAGAGAGGAGTGGGGAGAATGCTTTAGGTGTTGTCATTCCAGGGAATGTCATCTGGGGCAAATAAAGAGGGAGGCTTTGCTTTACCAAGGCCTGGCTTGGAGGATTTGAAACATTTGGCTTTTTTTTTTTATCCTAGAAGTAAGAAAAACTAAAGAGGGTGTTTTCTGTGTGATAAACATCAGGCTGAGGAAGTTGTTCAGGAATTTAAGGACAAGGCTGAGCCAGGACCGAAGCCAGGAATGATCTACAGCTGCCTTGGCAGTACCCTTGATGTTGCCTGTTCTCTTGCAGCACATCTTTGGAGGGGATTTTTTCCTCCTGTAGCTCTTGGCCAGCTGCAGGTTTCAAGTACATTATGGACTGTTAAGCACAGCATATAAGGCAGGAATGAAGAGCTGAAGTAAGGAGGAAAGTTTTCTGTGCTATACATGATGGAGTGTAGGTGTGTGTGCCTTTTTCCACCCTTGTGGCCTTGTGCTGGGATTTTGTTTAGAAAAGCTGTCGTTGTCTTTGATTAATTCCAGCTGTTTGAAGGGAAGCTGCTTCTAGGTACCAAAAAAAAATAAAATCACTGCTGGCAGAGTTAGGAAGAAGCAGATTGGTGGGGAGGACTGAGTTTCTGGGGAATTCTGCCAATGTGATAGAAAAGAGGAAAAAATGAGCTTGGGTGACTGAGCAACCAGCTGCGGCTCCAAGTGATTTTTTCCAAGACTCTGCTTGAAAGTAAAGGTTTCTCCCAGCCTTCCAAGACTTTTTACTTCATATATTAATCACAAATCAAACCCTTCAGCACTGTGGCGAAGATGTTGGGCTGCTTTAGATTCACAAATGTGATGCCAGTGTGTTTTCTTATGCTCATGTTTTTAAAACACCTTCAGGGATTTTGTGAATTTGTTTTTCTTCTGCGACCATGAAGAGTCTAAATTTATTCATAGTAAAGATTTTTAGTGTTTGTTCTTCATCCTGGGACATCAGCAGCTGATATGGCCAGTTTTCCTGGATATTTAAAGGGTCTTTGAAAGGAGTAATGCCAAAAGAGTCCAGAGTTGTGTTTCTGCATGCAACTTGTCCTGTGGCAAATCTCTTGGAGGACTGAGAATCAGCGTGGGGCAGGGACAGTGCACATCTAATGCTGGCTGAATTTCATTTCAGGTGATGGAATATGAGAACAGGATCAGAGCCTACTCCACACCAGACAAAATCTTCAGGTACTTTGCCACGCTGAAGGTGATCAACGAGCACGGCGAGTCCGAGGTGTTCATGACCCCGCAGGACTTTGTGAGATCCATCACCCCCAACGAGAAGCAGCCAGAGAGTGAGTGCTGCAGGGGAGCTGCTGTGGAGAGCTGACACTCCCCAGGCTCTGCTCACCTGCTCTGTAAACTTCCCAGCTCTGATTGCCAGGGCTAGGAAACATCTCCTGAAGGTCTCCTGCTCCAAGCCCAAAATTAGCCTGAGTCCTTTCATGTTTCCCAAAATGCTGTTGCAGTGTAGCAGAGCTGGCTGGTGTGAGCCCTGAAGAGCAGATGGGATGCCTTGCCTCCTATATTTAATAGGGAAATATTGCCTTGAACTGAAACACTTCCCAAACCTACAAAAGGAGGTTGCTTTGGCAAGGAAAACATCAGCAATAAAGGCTGGACTTGGTGATCTTAGGGGTCTTTTCCAACCTAAATGGTTCCAAAGGGGTTGAGGCAGCCCCATGTGATGGTGGTCAGGGTAGGGCTCATCTCTGCCATCTTCAAATTCCCTGTGGGTTGCAGACAAACACTTGTAGTACCTGGGGAGGTTTTGGCAATCAAAAAGTGGGAGAGAGACACCTTGCTCTTGTCTGGAAAAATGTGTCCTTAATATTTGGTGTTGATTGTGTAGCAGGAGGCATTTGTCTGCATTTTAGAGATTTTTGTCTCCATTTAGAGATTCATGTTTGGGGTCTCCATTTAGAGATTCATTTTGTCTCCATTTTAGAGATTCATTTTAGAGTTTGGGGTGAGATGTGGGTGATCATGTTTTTTGATCTCCCACATTATATCTCAAAGAATGAATCAGGTTTTTGTCAAATTAAAACTTCCCTTGTCTCTGCAGACATTTATGAAGAACTGCAGTCCCCAAATGTTAAATATTTGAGTGTGGGGTTTTATGTCCAAATTGTGAAACTGTTTTGATATCTTAGATGACAGCTGCTAATTAAATACTGTGTACCCTTGTGCTTAGAAAATAACAATATGAAGTGTGTGCAGGAGGGAAGAAAAAATAACCCTGGCATTAGTGTTTAAAGCATGTAGGTGAATTGATATTTAGGTTTCCATCCTAAATTTCCATTTTCCCTGGAAATGGCTGTAGTTCCCATGTGAATTCATGGCTGTAGGTTACCATCTTGTCTGTCTCAGACTCCTTGAATTGGTGATTAGAAAAGCAGTAGCACCTGTCTGGGAGCTTAAAACCTGAAAACATCCTGTGTTTCTTTCAGCACATCTGATTCTTCTTTTAGTTCTTCCACGTGCTTGGTGCATTTTAGGGTGTGTACAGCAAATAGGTGCAAGTATGCTGAGCAAACACCTCCCTCAGAGACAAGCAGAGGTGACTAATGGGAAATAATTAATTCATCAGTCTTAGCCACTCACTTCCCATTGCATTCCCTTTGTTGTCCTGGCTGTTGATGTTGTCCCCATGGTGCCTGCAAATGCTGCCAGTGAGTGACACACAGCAGCTTGGGAGGGAAGAAAGTGGATTTAGGTGTTTCTAGCAAGTGGAATGGGATGGGAGCTGAGCTTGGGCAGGGCAGGAAGGGAGGCATCTTGGATTTTGTTGAGTTGAAAAATCTGTCTTCAGAACACTTAAAGAAATTTTGTGGATTTGCTTCTAGATGGAGCTGCTCTACTGTGGTTGTTCCTTACCAGCTCTGTACATCATCACAATCACAGTAAATGGGTTTTTTTAACACATAATGAACAGTAGAAGAGTAAAACAGTTATTGCTACAATAAAGTCAAACCAGCCATAACCTTGTTCTGAAATGTTTTTAAAGCTGGTAGTAAAAAATAAAAGGAAGATAGGTCTGGTTTTCAGATCAGAAATGGAAAACAAAGAGTGCTACCTGCTGGCCAGATGAGTTCTGTACTTCACACCCTGCTGGTGCTTTTGACTCACAGGGTAATTTAGGTTCCAGGTTAGCTGGGAAATGCTGGGGCTGCTTTCATCCTGAGTCACAGCCTGGGTGTGCCCTGCACTGGGGCTGGAGCATCCTCCTTCATCCCAGGCCTTTCCTTGGGGTTGGTGCAGCCTGGTGTGTTCCTGGGGAACCTCCTGGAGGTAATCCCTCAGTGTGCTCAAGCTGCAGCTCATCATTTCAAGGAGTAACTTCTTGTAAAAGCCTCTGCTGTTTTAGGGAGAGAAAACACTGAGGAGTAGAAGTGATCTGGAGTAACGAGGTGCCTCAGTCTCTGTTGTATTTATTTTTAAACTGCTCATCCTCTGTGAAGGTATTGTGTGCCTGATTCATTTTTATGGATTTAGGGGAAAGTTTGATTTATTGTCAATAAAGTGTCAGCTTAATTCTGGCCTGTGTTTTGCTAGCTTGGGGAAAATGAATGCCAATCCCTCAGCTCCTGCAGATTGCTTTCTCTGCTTCACTCAAACTTCTTGCCACAGCATTCCCAAACAGGCAAGCTGTGCTTAAGTAATGACATGAGCTTGCTGAGCTTGGAATGGTTTGTCAGAAGAAGCCAAAGAATGGCATTAAACTTGAAAGCTGCTTTAAAAAAAAATTCCTTTCTGTGCTATCTGGAAAGTTCAAGTGCCAGGAGAAGCGTGGGTGGTGATTTCTGCTCCCTGCAGTCCTGTATTATTTTTATTTCTCTTATGTCCTCTCATACCTGAGAGGTTAAATTTGCTCCAAGAGTGGATGGGAAGGGATGGCTGTTTCCTGCCTGGTGCTTCCTTGGAACCCCAGTCCCAAACCAGCTGAAAATAAGCTGAAAATTCTCTGTCTCTGGTGGGAAGTGCAAGGATTCCCTCCATTTCCCCAGGTTTATCTGGGCCATTCTGCACTGATCATTTTCCTGAGGAAAGCGAGTATTTTGGAGCATCCTGGACTAAGAAGGAGCTGTGTCATGCTCAGCTTTCCTATGGCCTTTGCAATAAGGACTGAAAGAAGTAAAAAATACTACTTCTATCTCATCCCAGCATGTTGTAATGAAAGCAGGTTCTTCCCAAACCAGTCCTGTATTGACCTGGCTGATTATCCCAGACTCCTGCCAGAGGAAAGATGCATTTGAGCTTCACCACATAATGAGCAGCAAGTGAAATATCTGAACTCTTGGAAGGTGTTTTGGTTGGGTTGTTTGTTTTGTTTGAGTGCCAGAGACCCCAGAGATGCTGCTGAAGGCCAGGCAGAAGCAGCAGCTGTGTCTCTGTGAGGGGATGGTGGCAGAGGTAGAGTGTGCAGCTTGCTTCTCCTGGTAGAAAATGTTTGTTTTCCACGTCTGAGCTGCATGGGGAGCTGAGCACAAGCTGGCCTCTGGGGTGGTACAGTGCATGAGTGATTATTTGTAATTTTGATTAAAGCTTATGAAATGTGGATCTGATCTCCTGTACAACCATCAGCCAGGAGCTGAGACAAGCACTCATGTAATGAGGAGGGGAGAACTCCCTGGGCTGGTACAGATCCCTAAAGTTACACAAAATGATCAGCTGGGATATTTAAGACCTAGAAGGAAGCCAGAGATTCTGGGATTCCAATCCTTCTGGGAATTCTCTCCCTACTCTTCCCTGGTACATCTGCTGAAGAGCTCTTTGGAGCAAGGATGTGAGTGAGAGGTAAATCCATTTGTCTCCTGACCAAGGTGGGGCTCTTTTTCCGTGGAAATACAAAATGCCTGGGCAAGAATCATCTTTGAGCCTGTCAGGCCTGATATGAGAGCCCAGGAAAAGAGCCAAGGAGGAGCAAGAGATGCATTTACCTCTATGCTTATGTGCTGAAAGTCACACAAAGGAGGCTTCCATACAGTGCCAGGTGTGGCTGAGCAGGTGTGTTAGGAGTGCATGTCTCACAGGGAAACTGCCTTGATGGAGCAGGAGCAGAGAGATGAGAACCAAGTCCCTTGCTGCTTCCTTCCTGGAGCAAAGCAGTCCTGGAATTGAAGCTGAGCACTTCAGGGCTGTTGTCCTTCAGGGCTGTTGTCCCCTGAGGCAGCTCATTGTTTGCTTGCAGATTCCATTTTAGATTCAGAGAGGAAATACTCTGAATACAACAATCAGATGCTGGATTACAGCTCTGGAGGGGAAAGCTTGCTCCAGCATTTTCTCCTGCCATAATGTGGCATATCACAAGCACAGTTAGCAGCTTTTCAGTCTTCATAATTAGCCCTTTTATTCATCTGCTAGCAGTAAAGGAGTCCATGGTATATATTAAGCAGTGGGGGAAAAAAAAGCAGATCATGAGTGAATGTTACCCAAATAATGTGCAAAATCTGACAAGGATATCAAGACTTGGAAGGAATTGAAAAGGTTTTTCCATCAGTGAGAAGCTGCTGGTGTCCCAGAGGAAATCATGGTGGTTTCTAATTGATCTCAACTGCGTTCTTGGCATAATATAATTGTCCTTCTCCTGGAAGCTCCTTTTTAAAATGTTTTTTAGAACTGCAGTCTATAACCTACTGCCTATGGATTTATTTTTACAAGATAACATGAAGAGCTTAGTAATTGACTGCATATTTATCAAGTGTGGTAATTAACTGGCTTTGAGAAAATCCATGGAAAGTATGTTTTTGTTAATCAATAGGAATATAATAAGCATTTGATTTTAGATTTGGCTATTGCTGAACAAGAGCAGGAACAAGTTATTCTGTGTTTTTTCCTTAACATAATTCATTCCTTCTCCATGAAAATTCATTCCTTTCCTCCAAAATGAGAGAAGTAAATGCAGGGAGTATGGTTCTGCTGTTGAACACCACCTTCTCCGCTTTGTGGCAGGCAGTGAGTGTTCAGTAATTTTTGCTTTATATTGAATCATTTTTATTTTTAGAGTGCTGTGAAAGTACCATCACACGAATAAAAGTGGCAGCCTATATCCCTGGTATTGGTGAGTAAATGGTGTCAGTCTACTCTGAAATAACATTTCTAGTGGTGCTTAGATACTCCATGGCAGTGCTGCTGTTTATTTGGGGCTCCTGGTAGGTGCCATCAGAATTTGCAGGGGCAATAACCAGGGGTGGTTAAACATTCCAGGGAAGCTGACTGGGGAATCCTTGCAGGTCCCTGAAATGCTGCTGGCAGTGGGGGGCTGGTGCAGAGCCCTTGGCTGCAGGAGCAAAAGGGATGTGTAGGGAAAGGTGAGGGGTTGTTCAGGGTCTCAGGTAAATATAAGTGTATTCTGGGGCAGATCATGGTGGAAACTCTGGGTGATCACTGCAATCCAGGCTAGCCATGTGTATGTCCCAGGAAAGCTTGAGGCAGCCAGGTATCTTTCTGAAATGACTCCTGGCTTTCATTGCTGCCTCTCTTGAGGAAATCCTTTCAACTACTTCTGAGAGAATGCTTTTTCAGCCCCTGCCCCTCAGTAAAGATGGAAAAGCTCTTTTTTTCCTGGTTCAACATGCCTATTAGCCTGTGTTCCTGCAGCTCAGCAACAATAGCCCAGCCAGGGGCTGTTTGTCTTGGGAGTGTGGCACTTAGAGACAATCCTGTGGTGGCTCTAACACCACTCTGCCCTTTGAAAAGCAGATGTGCAATAACTGCCATTCTTCCCTTCCCTCTTCTCTGGGATTGTCCTCATCCATGCAGTGTCCTATTGGCTCACCAGCCCACACAAATGCTGAATTCCTATTGCACTTTCTTGGTGTTTTTATCTAATTTAAAGGAAGACCCCAGGCATCAGGTAACAGACCCTCTTTGTTGGTTTCCTTTTGTCAGGTTTAAAGGCTTATGGAAAAACAGGCAGCTAAGTGCTTAAAAAAGAAAATAAAGCTGTCCTGGGAAAAGGAAAATGTATAGAGTAAAAGTGTATGAATTGAACAAAAATGCCTCTTTTAGCTTTTGAATTGGCTTCTTCTCTCGGGACCAATGTCAGGAGAATTTCACAGAGGAATTTGAGTGTGCAGCTTAATTAAAGCAGCAGAGGAGAGGGGACATTGTGCATGGCTGGGAGGGTGACCATGTCAAACACTGGGGGAAGCCAATGTGCTTGTGTGTGCAGTACAATTGTGGAATCATCTGGGTTGGAAAAGATTTTGAGATTGAGGTCAGCCATTGGCCCAGCACTGCCAAGCCACCACTAAACTATGTCCCCAAGTGCCACATCTGCATGGCTTTTGAATCCCTCCAGGGATGGTGACATCACCACTGCCCTGGGCAGCCTGTGCCAGTGCCTGACATCCTTTTGGTGAAGGAATTTTTCCTAATACCCAACCTAAACCTCCCCTGGCCCAGCCTGAGGCCCTTTCCCCTTGTCCTGTCCCTGTTCCCTGGCAGCACAGCCCGGCCCCCCCTGGCTGTCCCCTCCTGGCAGGGAGTTGTGCAGAGCCACAAGGGCCCCCTGAGCCTCCTTTGCTCCAGGCTGAGCCCCTTGCCAGCTCCCTCAGCCCCTCCTGGGGCTCCATTCCCTGCCCTGGACACGCTCCAGCCCCTGCAGGTCCTTCCTGGATTGGGGAACTGGACACAGCCCTGGATGTCCCTGAGCAGGGGAACAGTGACAGCCCTGGGCCTGTGCCCACACCCCTGCTGGGACAGCCCAGGAGCCATCATTTCCACATTTATTTATTCAATGAATATTTATAGTTATTTAGAAACATATGGCATTTATATATAAAAAATTATATTATCAGCTTATCTTTTCTTGCTGTTCTCTACACAATCGTCTGTGCCGGTGTTCACAGGGGTTCTTGAATTGGGGAAGAGATGAGGATCTGACTCCATGTTTCAGAAGGCTTGATTTATTATTTTATGATATATATTACATTAAAACTATACTAAAAGATTAGAAGAAAGGATTTCATCAGAAGGCCAGCTAAGAATAGAATAGAAAACAATGATAACAAAAGCTTCTGTCTCAGACAGAGTCCAAGCCAGCTCACTGTGATTGGCCATTAATTAGAAACAACTCTATGAGACCAATCACAGATGCACCTGTTGCATTCCACAGCAGCAGATAATCAATGTTTACATTTTGTTCCTGAGGCCTCTCAGCTTCTCAAGAGGAAAAATGCTAAGGAAAGGATTTTTCATAAAAGTTGTCTGCGACAATCATCCATTCATTTTGGCTCTCTATTGAAACCTCTGTGCTTTCCCAGTGTCCAGTTGCAGGAGATGCCATTAGGACATACTTTCACTGTCTATTTTTAACCCCTGTCCCTTTTTTGGCTTTCCATGAGTACATGTGTAATGTCAGGCTGTCAGGAATCTGCCTTTCAGCAGCATTTCCTGGCATGGGAAAAGGAGGTGTCCCTGAGAAATGACTTTATTATGTCACATGCACATAAGCTCAGCTTATGTCACCATGCAGATGGATGGTCAGGGTGAGCTCTGACCACATAAAGTATCTGTGATAAAATAATCACATTTATCAGACAAATCTTACCTCTAAATGCACTAATACTTACTGCATTTATACTCACAGCTTGGAGAAGGACACAATTCAGAAGATTGAAGTCTGAAAAAGTGTATGAATATGCAATTTGCATTGTTATCAGGCCCACAAAATATTGAGAAGGTGCTTTCTGGCTGGAATTGTCACAAGTGCAGAAAGCCCTGTGACAATTGCCTTGACCTTTGAAATTGGTGGCAGAGGAGTTGGAGCTGCTTTGGGTCACCCTGGAGCAATGAATAATTCCATTTTCTGCACAATGCCATGAAACTTTCCGGCAGGCAGGAAGGGTTTCATTATCCTCCTTCAAAAGCAGGTGACACAGCAGGCGTGGGGAAGGCTTTCTTTTGGTTTTTCCATTTTATTTTCTAATTAAAATTGAAATGAGAATGTGCTAATTACCATAAACAGTGGCAGAAGATGCACAGGACGTCGCTCTGTGGAGGTTTCATTTCTCAGAGCACCAAAAATCAGCCTCTGCTCTCCTGAGTTTTACTGGAAATGCTCAACTTGAGTTCTGCTTAATCTCTTCTCAGGATGCAGCTCCCTCACTTTGGATTGCAAAGCTCAGATAATTAATCTTCCTGAATTTTTTTTGTCATCTTGCTTATACTTTCAGTCACTGGTGTTAGATGCAGCCTGCTGGGCTTTGTGCCTTAACTCAGCTAAGGCTGGGATGTTCTTTTCCCCACTTCAACATAAATAAACATTTTGGGAAGGTATCAGAGACTTTATTGATATAAACAATCCCTCTCCTTGCCTTTCTCCAATCCAGCTAAAGGACTCCACTTCTTACAAATGCATCTAAACTTATCTCCTTTAAACTCTATTTATTTTATACTCAGATATGAACAAGCTTTGGATTTGCTTGGGGACATCCCAGTTAACTATGGGAGCAAGTATTTTTTCCCCTTTGTGGCCCATTTGAAAGGTGTTATTAAAAGCACCAAGGGTCACAGGTGAAATGTTTGCCTGGTAATGGTGCAGGGATCTGCTTTGGGGAGGGTATTTCAGGCTCCTGAGAGGTGCTGATTGCTGAGCTCTTGCTGGCCCTGCTGTAGAAGGGGGTTTTCTTCTCTGATTTCATGAGTTTGTTGGCTTTTTGTGTTCAAAATACAAAGTACAAAATGTACAAAACCAAACAAAATTTTCCTCCTGTCCTTATGTTTCCTACACATGTTACTCAGACTGTGCATTTTACTTTCCAGTCCTCTCAAACAGAAAACACAAGAAATATTTAATTCTATGCCATAAAAGCTTTCTTTTCTGTATTTTTTTTCTCTTGCAGACCTGGGCCTGGACCAGTTCATAGTGAAACGCTATGATGGGAAGGTGAGCACATTGCACTGCTAAATGTATTTTATTTAATGTTTTTTTTGACCTAGAATCCTTCAGTTATTACCTGTGTGAGGGTGGAAGTTAAATGAAGTGTGTCAAGTGTTCTCTTCTGGGCATTTTGGTTTGCAGCAGCATTGCAGTGCTTTTTCTGTAATGACAGAAAGATTGTTTCTCTAAAGAGACCTTATTTTAATGTTTACAGACAAAATATTACCACTCCTATATGCTGGTGGGCTGGGAAATCATAGGTTGTAATCACATTTCTTTGCTGCTTCTTACTGACTGTGTGAGAGCCCCACAGGTTAAATCATTTCAGGGGAAACTCTCTGGACCTTTCCCTTTCCCAGACTTCTTTCTGACTGTGTGAGAGCCCCACAGGTTAAATCATTTCAGGGGAAACTCTCTGGACCTTTCCCTTCCAGTCTCATCTCCAGATTTCTAAAGGAAGGAGATGCTCTTGTGGTTTTTTTCTGTGTCTCACCCAGGTATTACCCCCTATTGAACAGCCTTTCTCTGTTCCCCCTTTGAGCCCAGGTTCTTCCTGCAGCACTGCACAACTGTTCTGGGTGTTTGTGAGAGGTAAAAATCATAATTCTGATCTAGTCTTGTCTCCCTGTGAATGAGGAGCCACGTAGCATCCCACTTGTTGTGGACAGCACAGACCTAATTATCCACAGACCTAATTATCCCCACTGGAAATCCCAGTGGGGTGGTAAAGGCAGCTCTGTCCCAGGACTGGCAGCTCAGATGGACTCCTTGATGCAGATAACTGCAGGTTAGTTAATTTTCCATCACATCACACAATGGTCCTCCAGCTTTTAGCAGCATTTTCATCTGCACCATGTGAAAATGAAGCTTTCAAAGGGACATCAGCATCTCCCCCCTGTTGCTGCAGGGTGCACCTGGCACAGTGTCAGGCATTTCCAGAAAGCTTCGACACTGGGGGAAAAAAAGAATTTAAAGCTTTATATAAACCCAGTGTGGGCTGAACATGTTTCATTCCCTGGTTTGTGTTTAGCAGGCACAGGTAACAACAAGATGATCAAATACCTGGGGTCCCTGTATGAGCACTGGGCCAGTGTGTGGTTACCCAGGCAGCAGAGCAGGGTTTTGCTGGAAAACAGACAACAGGGAGGTGGATTTTGGCAGTTGGTTTTGATACATAAAGCTCCAAAGCGTGTCATGAGCACCTGTTTTCTTTTCCCCCCTGCCACAAACGTGATGTCTGCTTTTTGGGATTAAAAAAACAACCCAGCCAAAGGAAGGATGTGTATTCTTTGCAAAATACCCAGTGTTTCTCTCTGTGGTTTCATGACAGTCTGTTTTGCATTCACTCACTTTCATCATTTTATCTTGTCAAGCTCACCCCCTTATCTTATCACCCTCATCCCCTGGGCTTTACATAAACAGGATTTGTTTGTAGGGAAGCAGTGCTGAATCCCACACTGTTTGTGCTAATGGCTCTCCTGCTCCTGAGCACTCTGCAGGCAATTCCCAGCACTCTGGAGAAAAGATCCAAAGGCAAATCCTTTGAACTCAACTTTCTGTTCCTTTGCCCCTCAGCACCCAGGGCTCTGACCTGTAGTAGACTGAAATAGCTTTTTATATTTTTATATAACTTCGAGATGTTGCTGCTGCACTTGGATGTGTCCATGCTGTGGTTTGATTGCCTGAAAGTGAGGCAGCAGATTGAGGGGACTGCAGTGGCCTTTGCTTTATTATTGTCTTCTCCTGGGACCTGATTTTTCCACAGCCTAATAACACCCTGGAAGCAGTGTACTCTGAAAATGAAGAAATAGAGGTTCTTGTTTGCTTGGCTGTCTGCTTAAAGACACTTTGGGACTGGCTACATCTGGCTGTGGCTATTAGGGCAGTGGTAATGTCCAGGTGAGAGATAATTTGAGGAGAGGATAAAATGAGCTGGCCTTGGCTCTCCCTTGGTAATGAAGGAAGCTGACAGTAGATTGATCTGACAGCAACTTGTTCTCATTTTGTTGCTTGCTTTGGGTTCCAGTTGAAAAAAATAACACTGCTTCTATCAGCCAAGCACAAGTGAGGGGCTGCAGAGCTGACCTCACACATTCTGAGTTTCACTTGCATAGTGATAAAACCCTTTTGCATCTCTCCCTCCATGCCTGATTCCAGCCACACATTCCTCTTAGATTATCAAAGCAGCCTCTGCTTGCAGGGGATTTGCCTTTGTGTGCAGGAGGAGCTGCTGAGCTCAGGCAGAAGGGGGAGAGGGTCATCCCTGTTCCCCTAAGCATCCTTATGGATATTACACAGAGAAATGGGAATTGTGGTACTCAAAAATAGGCCTGGTCACTGGACAGTTCTTCTCCTTTTTTAAGGAAAAAGGAGTTTGTGAACTGTCAGACTAAGCAAGCTGTGCTGCTGCAAAGCACTGACAATCCAGAGGCCAGACCCTGGCTGAAGAGTGGGAAGGAGGATTGATTTTAGTTCCAAGCAAAGTTCCAAACGTGGTGTCTGCATGCAAGCAGTGGTTTAGAGGGAGATTCAGTTAAAAGGTCTGTGCAGTTAGTTGCATTTTAATGACATCTTCCAGGACAGTGTTTGTAGCATCTGTGACAATTTCAAGCATGTGTGTTTGAGATCTAGGTGCTGCAGCATTAGTGGGATGATGTAAGAGCTGCTCCTTTCCCAGAACCCATTTTATTTAGGCAAAGCTGCCATCAAAACAACAAATTGGCCATTGTGGGGTGATCAGGGCTGATCTTGCCAAAGGATTTTGGGGAGTGATGTGCCTCTGTATTGTGCTTTTGTTGGGTTTCTGAGCCAGCTTGCTGTGCACGTGACTGAGTGCCAGGGTGAGAAGATAAAATCCACATTTTTCCCTTCTTCCTGCCCCTCCTTCTTCCTACTGGTAATTTATAGAGTTACTGGAGAGGGAGGTAGATGTTACTGCCTTTTTAATGGCAACAATGCTCCTGTAACTTGAGCCTAAATGATTTTTCTTCACTCCTGCAAGACCAAAAACCCTGGAGACACTCAGCCAGCACAAACCTTTGGTCAGATGTGTGTGCCAGCACAGGCTCATACTCGTGTGTACAGGGAGGCAACCTGTGGCTCCATTTTTGTCTAAGAGTGGTGGTTTCTTCCCTTGGGAAGCAAACTCAGCAAAGCAGGGGAAAAGAGGCATTGATTACTATTCATTCAGAGTAGAAAGGAGGTATTAATCAGCTTGCAGACATTTCATAGGGAGCCTGAGCAAAAGGCTGATGTGAGAACAGGCACACTCTCAGGGCATGGAGGTGCCCAGACCACGATTGTCTGTCTGCTGTGTTTCCACTGTCTCTTCCCTCCTGCATTGGGCAGTGGGAAAGCAAATGCATTTTTAACCCATCTGTAGGAGAAATAGCTCATGTTTTAGTGATGAATGTGCTCTCACTAAGTAGTAGAGATTTCTTAGCACATCCAACCTGGCATAAGCTTCATTAACGTTACGTAAGTTGTCGTGCAGAGTTTGTTAAAAAATTTCTTGTGCTCTCTCTGTTTATTTTTTTTGGCTTATGCACTAATGATTGACAAGCTTCATCTCTCAAAAAAACAAAGAAACAATGGTGCTCATGTTACTGCTCTGAATTGTGAGCTGCATGTCCACCCTGTCCCCAGCCTGGTGAGCCAGCACGGGAGCTCCCAGGTGTCCCCCAGCACTGCAGCCTGGTGGAAAGGTGGAGGTGAGCTGCAGTGCTTTTAAGAGTCCTCTGGTCTATTTAGGAAATAAAAGCCCCACTGTAGATGGCTTATTAGTTTAATTAGGATACACTTGACTTGCTCCTTTTTCTCCTGTGGGGAGAATTCCTTGCTGCTGCTCAATAAGGGCAAGAGCCTTCGAGCTACCAGCAACAGCTTCCCCTCCTGCAGTAAGTAATTAGAGAGGCTTTCAGTGCCCTCTAATTAAATTTATGACTTAAGTATTTCCTGCCAGCATTTATGTTTACTTCTCTAGATGTTTGGGCATGCCATAAAGTGAGGCCAAGCAAGGTGAAGGACAAGGAAAATACTTCAAATGGTGCCTCTAAGTGCCAGTAAAACATCTCTAAAATTCACTTGCACTGGGTAATGCAGGGTCATATCATGGACCAATGCAATGAGTATCTTCAGCTGCCCTGACCTGAAGGTGTGTGTCCATTAAAGAACACTTGCTGGGAGTCAGCTCAGCAGGCAGATTTCTTTCCAGATGATTTAAAGAGCATCTCAGGAGCAGAGGAGTTGAAAAAAGTACTTGAGGAAGATCCCCAGGGAGAAGACTGGAGGGGTAGATGCACCATCCTTTTCTGGTGGGTTGAAGGATCTTGCTCACAGGTTTGAAAGAGTGGGAAGGAAAGGAGCCTTGATTTATCAGCTGGAGTTTCTGGGATCCTTTGCTCTGTGGATGAGCTTTGCTTGGAGCATGATGCTCCCACAGACTTTGATAAGCTGCCATGCACCCAAACTTGCAGCAAGTGAGACAAGCCTAAAATCCTGCTGTCATTCAGGAGCCAAACACTGGGTCAGAGCTCTGAGCTCCCTGGAGGTGTGAGTGCCTCTGAAACCTTAATTCCAAAGGATGCAGCTCTAAATGTTGCCTTACCAAAAGCTAGTATCACAATTCTGTAAAGAGCAGCATAAAGTGCAGGTGCACTTGGAGGACACTTGGTGTGTTCTCCAGGTTAAATGCCATGAAAACAGGTGAAGAGTCCTCTAAATCCAACTGTGTGGGGTCTTGCCAGCATCTGTTGTGACAAGAGTTTGAAATGAATGTGTCCCCAGTGTCCCCAGCTGGAGCTGATGGGGCTGGGTTATGGTTTGCTTGGAGACACCTTGAAGTGTTTGGCCATTCTGGTCCATAATCCTTGGGAAATGTCACTGTCCAACTTCAGATTCCCTGCTTTTAAATTCCTGCACTCTCTGATCTCAGCACAGATAGTATTTGCATAATAACCAAGAGGCACCTTCTTACATGGATAATAACCTTGCTCTGATCTGTATAA